GGGGGCAATCACTTTTTCACACAGGGCCATGTAGGTTTGGATTTTTTTTCCCCCTTAATAATAAAAACCTTCATTTAAAAACTGCATTTTGTGTTTACTTGTGTTATCTTTGTCTAATATTTAAATTTGTTTGATGATCTGAAACATTTAAGTGTGACAAACATGCAAAAAGATAAGAAATCAGGAAGGGGGCAAACACTTTTTCACACACCTGTGTGTGTGTGTGTGTGTGTGTGTGTGTGTGTGTGTATATATATATATATATACTTTATTCTCTCCATGAGAGATGTAAAAGTATATGAAGGTAAAGTGACAATATAATTGGAAAAGATAAAGCTTTTTGTGTATTTTCAGGTATTAATGAAGATGATTTCTCTCTCTCTCTCTGTCTCTGTCTCTCTGCAGCCACAGATCTATATATCACCTGCACGCCTGGCTCTGGCTGTGATTACACCGATGAGTAAATCCATGCGCGTCAGAGTCTGTGAACGAGCCGCCTCTTTCTGCCCTCGTCACACAGACGACACAACCTACCGGCTCTATTTACATCAAGACCAGCAGCGACGTTATCTTTACATTATTACGAGGCTACCGGGTTGTTTAGTATCGGTTCCAGGTGGAAGTTTAAAAATAAATATAATTGTAAGTCATCGGTGAGTTTACATTTTATTTTTTAAATCATCCTCCCTTTAAACGTGTTTTTATAATATTGTGCACGAGCCGTTAACGTGTATGTTTTTAGCGCTTATCTCGTGCACGATACAAGTTTCTTATTAATAATCATAATCGACAGACGTCACAGAGGATGTTGCATGAAGTTGCACAACACAAAAGCAATATGGAGGAGACAGCAGCTCGCTGTGAACCTACGGGTCGCTCCGAGGCTTCAGTCGTGCTGTTTGCTTCTGTCTGCTCGCGAACGTTAGCTTTAATACATTAAATGTCATCTACACCATCGCGGTGTCTATTTAAAGTGAAGGTCCACGTGTTGTAAGTGGTGTGTTTGACCGTCAGCTCTGTGTGCTTTTATCACACCTAACGTCACGTGGCCAGGTGTTGCACATCTGGAGTCTGTTGACGCTGACACTTGTAGGCTCAGCTATGCTGCTGTATTGTTATTATTAATAATAATAAATGCATATATTGATATGATCCTAAAGGGGACAAGTAAACACAGCTGGTTCAGGGACATATTTTATTAAACCCCCAAAGAGACAGTGGTGGAATGTAACGAAGTACTGATGTAACGTGTACTTTAGCATTTTGTCTTTTATTTTCATGCTGCCTTTATTAATTATTTACTCCATTACATCTCAAAGGATTAAGTTGTTTGCACACAAAAAACAATGTGATGGGCTCTGGATCATTTTGATTCAATGTTTTTATACTTTTACTTTTGGTATTTAATGTATATTTTCCTGATTATACTTGCATGCTTTAACTTCAGTTACATTTTCAATGCTGGACTTCTACTTGTAACTGAGCATTTTTAGTTTTTACCATGTTGTGTTAGTACTTTTACTCAAGTAAAGAATCAGAATACTTCGTCCACCACTGTTTGGAGATCCAATGAGTTTACACCATGTAAGGTATTTGTACATGGGTAACCTTTAAAGTAGAGGTACTGGGTTTTTGGTGGTAGTCTCCTCTTGCCTCACACTGTCAGCCTTGTATCTTCTCTATAAATCCCATATTCTCCATTGTTGTTTTCTCCTCTCTACCGTCATGATTCCCGCCTTTCTCCCATCATGCAACGCTCTTGACGTTGACCAGGAACCTGCAGGTTCCCAGGTCGAGCTGATGAGTATGAGCCTGAACACAGAGCCCCTTAACGATGTTCCCGCTGTTACAGAAGGTTTTAACACGTCACTATCTTCCAACATATACATGTCTCTGTAGCACGTTGTATATGTGTCGAGAGTCAAGGAATGAACAAAGTCGTGTGTGTTGACTAAGTGTAAACATCTTAAACTCTGAATATCAACAGTTTGAGTTTTCAAGGCTCGGCGGCCGTTATAAAGGGCGGCTTGCCTTCAGGATCAGTAACTCTCTGCTGTATTCTGACCCTTCAGAGCCTGAGAGCAAAATGACTGCGGTCGAGAAGAAGGACAAGAAGCCAGAGGAAGTGGCGGAGGAAGAGGAGGAGGAGGAAGAATACGTGGTGGAAAGGGTGCTGAATCGGCGGGTGGTGAAGGGGAGAGTAGAGTATCTCCTCAAGTGGAGAGGCTTCTCTGGGTGAGTGTCTCTTACCGTCATCATCCGATTCACACAGCAGATCACCGGTACAAGTTATTAAGGAAATGCTGTATTTCTATGTACTTGTGTCTGCAGAGAAGACAACACGTGGGAGCCAGACGACAACCTGGACTGTCCGGATCTGATCGCAGAGTTCCTGCAGTCCCAGAAGTCTGCTCACGACGGGAAGAGGAAGGCGGCCGGAGACGCAGAAGGAGACGAGAGTAAAACGAAGAAGAAAAAAGACGACGTAAGTCACCGACTCTTTGTTTTTGTCATGTGGTATCCAAAGACGGACTTATTCTTTTACGACATATCTGGGAACAGCTCTTGCAGACTCTGAGAGTCTCTGGTGGTATTCAGATCCCCAATCAAGTGCACAAGGGGGCTCATGTGGACTTTCTCTGGAGAGTCTGCTTTGGGTCCACAACAATATTCAACTTTAAAATATTGTTCCAAAATGTGGAGCTGAAGAGGATGAAGTAGATCGATGGAGAACTAATCTGCAGCTTTGAGTTTTGATTGAATAATGATTTCAGTAATGGTCAAACTTCTGCTGGTAGCTTCCATAATGTGAGGAAACGATGCTTTTCTGTGTTACGTGACAGTAAACTGAATGTCTTTGAGGTTTTGGACGTGCTGAAACATTATTTTCTGCTTGATTGAAGTTGTGTTTTGTTGTTTGATCCTCAGACAGAGAAGCTCCGGGGCTTTGCTCGAGGACTCGATCCAGAGAGGATCATCGGCGCCACAGATTCCACCGGAGAACTCATGTTCCTCATGAAATGGTTCGTATGCAACGTAACAGCTGGATGTGTCATCGAATATTTTGTCTGTAAATGTTTTTTGGGTGTTTGTGTTCTCAGGAAAAACTCAGATGAAGCTGACCTGGTGCCGGCGAAGGAGGCCAACGGGAAGTGTCCTCAGGTGGTCATCTCGTTCTATGAGGAGAGACTCACCTGGCACTCGTATCCCACGGAAGACGAGAAAAACTAACACAAGAGGGCAAAGAAAGAAGCTAGTTTTGAACTTCATTGTACTTTTCCAGAGGGGGGGGGGGGGGCGGCAGAGACGAGCAAGACACCTTTGGACTGGTTGGTGTTGGTGTCGTATCACTCATTTGATTCTGGATGTAATGTAACTGTATATATGCTTCAACTGGAATGTAAAACGCAGGCGTCACTTTTACTCTCTCGGCCTCTTCAGTATCAGTTTGGTCCAGAGATCCGTCGTGCTGTGACATCGTATCAGTGAGGTGATGTTTCTATTTCATTAGTGCCTTTTTTGAAACATTATTTTCGGTGCTTTTGAGGTCAAAACTGTGTCCATCTGAGCTGTTTGGTGTACGGTTACAACCCCTGATTAACTGATTGGTATTCTTTGTAGACTTCTTCATTGTCACATCTTGCTTGTCGGTTTTGGAGAATAAACAACTTGTTTTGCGACTTTCCTCTTTTTACTGTTTTCACTTTAAATATCGTCTGATTATTATCCAGCAGGGCTGCAACTAACGACGATGTCATCAAATCTCTTGTTTTGTTCCACCAACATTCACAAAATATTCACTTTACTCAAGAAAAAAAAGCAGCAAATTGTCACATTTAAACCCGACAACAAAGGTTTGTAAACTATTGATGACAAACGTACTTGGCGATTCCTTTTCTGTAAATTGACTCTTTGTTGAAGCTTTGTCACCTCGTGTCTGTTTACGGATCATCGGGATAATTTCCGCGACTTAAACCCTGGAGCCCCAGTCGTACGGTCTGACTAACTCCATTCATGACAACTAGAACACAGTAGAGTCCCGGGTGAAAATAAAAACACTTTATTAATCAATAAAAACAATTCTTGATTGCCGGCAAATATCTGAAAACAAGAAGGAACTACATCCAAACTGAAAGCAGAGGGTGAGACCGTCATGGAGACATAAATCATGACGAACACAAAACATGAAAATATTTACAGAACAAGACAGACAAAGAAAAGTGCACTAAGTAGTAGCAGTACTAGATAGTTGAAGTCAATGTTAACCAGAGTTTCATGCCTGAATATCACATTTAATGAGGACATTTCTCCTTTCAACAACTATTGTTTGGACATCATCTGTTCTGCTCTTATAAACGTTCGAGCCTAACTCGCCTATTTTATTTCTCTGTTCACGTACTGACAACTCCATTCAGATAGACGAGTAATAGCACTTCTTCCTCCGCTTCTCACAACATTTAAAGTGAGACGATGAGATGGTGAAATAAAGGCATTTCAAATCAAAGTGGCCACAACACGCACCGTCTTTTCACGCATTCAAACAACTTATCTTTTTTAAATCTCATGTAACAACTTGGCTCACTTTGTTACCAACACAAAGAAAACAAACATAGGACTCATGTTTAAGCCAACACCTCGGGCTTCACAGCAGTTTAAAAAAAATGACCTCAAGTGGCTTTCAGTCGGGGAACGTTGGCAAATAAGTTAAATAAAAGAGATTTGGCTCCACCAGAGACGACTGAGCCCGTTTGAAGTTAGTGCCGAACACGAGGCGTCCAAGAGGAAAAAGAAAAACGCCAAATGATGCATAACTGTGACAGCCTGAACATCTGACCCGTCACAGCAGCTTCCTCTTCATGATTACAGGCTCGGCGTGACAATTTAAATAAAAACAGAGTGTAGAGTTTTACATAAAGCTGATGTGACCTATAACCTTGCTTATACTACAGATTATGAACAGTTAATAAGAGCCTTCCTTAACACAGCTCCCGTATTTAAACCTGCAGCGAAGGAACAGCAACAGACACGGCAAAATGCATATAGCCAAGCCTTTTAAAAGACAAATTACAGTGCTATGTATAATTTATAAGGAAGTTGATACATTTTGCAATGCAGTGTGCCTCCTCCCTAAGACATCCATCTGCTCCTCTTGCAGGACTTCACCTCCAGGCCTCTTTTTTTTTTAGCAGCGGCCAGCCCGGGAACTCTCCAGCCTCTGACTCCCTCTGGTCTCAATCCTCCCCCGTCCACCCGGCGCTCTCTTCAGGGCCTCTCTGAGCTCAGACCCACTCCACAAAACTGGAATTTGCGACACACAAACCGACAGAATTGGAGTCCAGTGTTTTGAGCATGTAAGAGATGATCAAGTGCACCATACGACCTTTGGTTAGTAAAGGTGTTAATGGCACCCTAAAATAATGGACTTCCTCTTAGCCTTTGGTAAACTGAACTCTCACAACCGTAGATGCAACTTAAACGTGACAAACATCAGTGAAAGTCTCCAGGGTGGGATGTGGTCCGTCCTTTAAAACCTCCGGTGCATAGACAGTGTTCTTGTTCTCCAGACGAGTCCCCTCGTTTCACCCGACAAACCTTCTCCGTCCTCAGCGGTTTTGGTGCAAAAGGATGAAGAGCGGCTCATTTTTTTTCTTCTTCTCTTAATTGCTCATTTTTATGTCCTTTCACGTCCCTCGTCTCCTCGCTTATCGTTTCCCCCGCCCCGTCTAAATAATGAAATATCAGTACTCAAACGAGGAGCTACTTCTGCTTCAGAGTTGTTTCCAGGGGGAAAAAAAAATGTAGGACGAGAATGAAAGGGGAGAAACTAACGCAGGAAGAGTAGTCAACAACTCTACTCACCAGAATCTTCTTAAAGGAAAAAAGGACATCTCTCTCGCATCTGCAGAAATCTTTCTTATTGATTTAGCAAAGTGATAGAATAAACAGCAGTTTGCCCCCCACCCCACCCCCCTCACTTCTTTTTGTCTTTTTGTTTTTTCTCGGGCTTCCGGTTCTGCTCGGCGGTGGTCACGCCGCGGGGCATGATGAGCACGCTGCCGTCGGCGCTGTACTGGAGCGAGTACTCGCTGGGGGGGTAGGGCCGGCCCTCCTCGTCCCGGAGCTGAGTGAACACCTCCTGGTACAGACTCTGCATCTTCTGCTTCATCTGCCGGATGGAGCGGATGAACTCCATCTTCTCCTTCAGCAGGCGGGCCTTGTTGCGCCTCAGGTCGTGGACGCCCTGCTCCAGGTTGATGATGGTGTCCAGCTTGCGCTTGCGGCAGTTCTGGGCCGCCATCTTGTTCTTGCCGCGCCTGCGGATGTCGCGGACGAGGGCCAGCTGGCCTTCGCTCAGGTGGTGCTTGGCCAGGAGCTCGTTGAACTCCTCCACGGGCAGGTTGATGATCTTCTCGTTGGAGAAGGGGATCTTCATGGACCGGGCTCGCCGTTCGTCGCGACTCGCGTGCTTGTCGAGCAAATCCTGAGCAGGCTGAAGCTTTGAGTGTTTGTCGCGGACGCTCTTCTTGCCAGCGGAAAGGGGGAGCTCTGGATGCTCGGCGAACGCGGAGGAAAGCGGCAGGTTGTACGTGTGATTGTGGTCGATGCCGCCGAGCTGAGGGAGGCCGTGGAACTGGGAGGGGTCCTGGTAGCTCATACGGCAGAGCTTACTGAACCCAGGCTGGTAACCACCAACAGCACCTTCCTCCGTCTCCACGGTAGCGACCTCCGAGTCGGTGCTGTACCCCACAGCTCCCTCCTCAGAGAAGGTGGCCGACGTCGAGGACGAAGACGCCGCCGAGGAGCAGGACGTCTCGGAGCTGCTCGGGGAGGCCGGGCTGTGGCTGGAGTCCAGGGAAAGACCGGAGTCGGAGTCGAGCTCGTCCTCCAGCTGCGATGCCTGGGCCTGGCTGAAGCCCTCCTCCATGGCGAGGTCCAGCAGGCTGATCTCGTCGAGCATGGACTCCTCCAGCAGGTTGCTGAATGGATCGGGCAGGATGGGCGTGGACGTGATGTTGGTACTGGAGCTGTTAATGTGTGGCGGGAGAAAGATGCCCGTCAGGTTAGTGGCTCCGAACGTGGAGTTGATGTTGCTGGAGTTGCTGGAGGAAGGTCTGAGCATGGTGGTTCTCGGGGTGATGCTAGTAGAGTCCAACTGGGGATTGAACACCTGGGGGAAGTCCTGGCTGCAGCTGGGGAGGGAGGCCTGGTGGAGGCTGACGTCCTGGGTCACGGGTGTCGAGGCATTAGAGAGTCCAAAGTTTCCCGCGGCGCTCGACTCCGTCGTCCCACTCGTTCCACTGTCACTGCTGGAGTTGCTGTGTGGCGAAGAGTTGTTCACTTCCATTGCCTTTGAACAGAAAGGTTTCTTAAATATACACACTTCTCTCAAATTAATAAGCATACGTTTGTACGACGAAATATACTTTTTATGGTTGCAATGATGCAGTTAGAAAGTAGACGTACTTGTAGCTCCATGATGGCCATGATGTCTTGCCACTGCTGCTCCAGGTCTAACTGAGGCTCCGCGGGGGGCAGCTGTGGTGCCAGAGGAAGACCCTGAGACGTGGAAGGAACTTCTTCATTGGAAACGATTTCTGGGGCGACAACCGGGGCTGGAAACTGTTTAAAAACATCACAAAGGCCTTGTAATAAAAGATGATACTTGCAATGCTTGTGTAACAACAGGTTGTTTGTTTGTTTTTTTTACCTCAGATTCTTCTCCAAAAGGGAAAGTGGCCTCCAAAAGCCTCAAGCATTCTTGTAGAGACAGCGAAGTCTGCGAGCCAAGACCTGGGAGCTGAACGACAACACAAGAGACACTGTTGTGACTAATTGGCCCAAAACGGACGACCACGATGGTGAATGATTCGGTACAATGTGTGAGCAAACTTTGAGTGAATCCTTTGCCGCTCGCTTCTTCTGGCTAGCTGCAGGTTCTGAAGCTGTGTTAGTACTTCATTTTGTTAGCTTTTGCGGTAAGAACCATTCCATCTCCAGCAGTCCAAACACACGTCTACTTATTACTCATTGTGTGACGTCAATACAGTAAAAAGTATTTCTTATTTTAGGTTGGTTGTGGTTTATAAACACAACGTTCAAAGTCGGCCCCGGCTCAACGAGGGTTACGGTACTCGCCAGCCAACCCCAGATATTCACTCTCTTTTTGGAACTATCCACGTTTTGATCGCTTAATTTGCGGGTTTGTTCAGCGCCGTGTCCGACATTTCCTTAGTTTCCCTTTTGGATTCGTGCTTACGATCTAGCACCTGGTCGATACGTTTTAATAGAGCTTGAAGGCAGTACCTCTTCAGATTGTACTTTATCAGCTACTGTGGTCAAATGAGAGCAATTCTGACTAATAAACAACAACGAAAAAGAACATTTTGTTGTTTTCTGTATTCATAAAAGAATCAGCACTGGATGAGCTGCACGAGTGTTCATCGGAGGTTTATGAAGATTACATTTATACGTCATGAGTGCTAACGATTGTGAGTGAAGACTGAACCAAAGGAAAATTCTCTTGGGTGTTAAGCCCAGAAGTAAATGTGATTTACTTCATAATAAATGTGATTTACTCCCTGATAGCAGCAGATAGGTTTGCTTGATCTCTGCCTCTACTGTCAGACTCATTGAGACACAACAATGAGATGAAACTCCTAATTTCAAACTGAACAATTTCAAAGATGAACTTCGTTTATCAACACACGAGGCGAACAGTGAAGGAGACAAAGTGGAGACGAATACGAACTCTTATTCAGCCGACAGAATTAGCCTTTATCACCTCTGTGCAGCTCCCACGTTTCTTTTTTCTGTTAATGTACCATTAGGACAGCTAAATGTACCACCTCCCCTCTGGATGAAACTCTAGCACACAGAGATCCGTTTAGTCTGCTAACCTGCTCTGGAATACTCTCTCCGGTCTCCCCGTCCACCGGCTGAGCATCTTGCAAGTTCACTCCATTTCTCCAGCTCTCTTGCTCCTCATTCCCGTCTTTGTTCTTGTGCGGGTTGGGCTTCTCCTCCTCGCTCTCCTTCTGACGGTTGCTGTAGTTGAACACTTCTCTTCCTGCTCCGAGGTCGATGTCCTGTCTCCACAGGATGTCGATCAAGTCAATGTCCTGCAAAAGAATACATAGCAACCATTGAAAAATGGCCCTGTGTAGAGAAAAGTTACTTTAATAACCAGGTATGGTGTAGGCATTCAATGTATTGAACTAATACTGTAGCGAGGTATAAAGGAACATATGTGGGCCACTTATGATTTACTTATTTATGATAGTAAACTCGTACTTCTACTGTTTATCTCTTATACAAGCAGTTTGGCTCATCGTTTCATAAGTGTGGGTCATTTTGGGAGATCACGTAACAGAAATGTAGTCAGATGATGCAGCCATGACAAACCCTTTGACATGGTGGTCATCATGTGATCACATAGAAATCTACAATGTCTTTGTGTGACCTCATTGTGTGACACATTATGTGCAAGATTTCTCAAAGTAACAATAACAACAAGAAATCACACAGAAATGTTGTTAAAATGTAACACGTAGATGTAAACAACAGAATTTTGTGCCATGTTAAGAGAGTAAATGAAGTTAAATGACCGTTTGCTGTGGATTTAAAAGTTGCACTCATGACAACAATCACAGCTCTCATGAATATAACTCGACTGGTTTTGCTAATAATATCCGACACTGATTATAGACCAGAGCTGTGGACCATTTAAACTCTGAGTATATGTTTGATTGTTTTTAGTAGTTAGGATTGACGGATTAAGTTGGAAGATTAGTTTACCACTAAATCTAACTAAAGGTACAACCAAGCTCACACTAATTCCTTTGAACATAAAAGACATGATCTAAATCCTGTTTGTCAGTTAGTTTGTGAGACAGCAGGTGAATGTGGTGACAACAAGCACCTGTCAGAAGGAGTTGTATGTGCCCTCCTTCTGACAGGTGCTGCCCACAGTGAAGGAAGAAACAAGCTGCGGTACCTCTTTGGTGAGGTCGTCATTGCCGTCCCTGCTGCCCTGATCCTGGTTTCCCTCGGGGGCCACAGCTCCCAGGCTGTTGTCCGCTGCGTTCAGGTTGTACGTGGATTCAGGTGCTCCGCTTCCTCCCCTCATGGCCGGGGTGGCGTCAGAGTTGTTGACGTCCTCTAGGCCGCCCCCATTGTCCAGGGTGATGCTGGGGCTGGACTGGCTGCTGGTGGACACCACAGTCTCAGAGTCGCGATGCACCAGCCAGGTGTTGAGCTCCGTACAGGGCACAGAGAGGCGATCCAGTTGGCGCACCTGGTTCAGCAGTCGCCGAGCGGTAAAGAATTGGTCCAGGTCCACGCTCTTTGGATGGATGCCATTGCCGTCCAGGGTGTTGCGCAGGTTGTGAAACTGTGTCTGGGTGTAGGCTGAGCTAGGGCCCAGGATGATCTCTCTCAGTGGGGGCAGCTGATTGCTTAGATAGGTGTCAACATCCACCCGCACCCCAATGAGACTCAGAAGGATGGTGAACTGAATCAGGCCCTCTGTGAAGTATTTTTTCAGGTAAAGCATTTCTTTACAAAGGAACAAAAGGTGAAAGTAAAAAATAAAAACAAAAACGGGGCCAACTAGCTTCTGTACTCGTACTAGAAGACTGAGACGGTTACATGAGCGTAAAAAAAAAGTGGTTAAAGAATGGGGAGAGGGTCTTCAACAGGATGCAGTGTGTTTAAAAGGCATGTAGGATCCAAGTTGGGGTTTCCACTCTGACAGAGTCCAGTTTGTGCTCAAAGCTTTCTTCTTCATTAGGTTCTCATCTTCCCATTCCTGACAAAAAGTGAGAAATTACATGTTATTGCTCCACTTTAAACACCAATAGTTCACCATTACAATCACACTACATTCAGAGCAGACACACAAGTCTTACCGTTACTTCATTTGCATTAAACCCATGTTAATGACACACAAATAAACAAAATAAATCAGGACTTGCTAGCCCACTGCAACCACTCCATCCTCCCAAAAAGTGTAGAGAAGTGATGTCGGCACAATGCATTGGAAAATAAATAAAAATCAGCAGACCAGAGATGAACACAGAGCTTTCACATCACCCCACCCTTCACAGGACAAACTACTTCTTCGTGTGGGTGCAGCTGAAGGTGAATCGAAGGCTCGACAGCGTCTTCTTCTGTGGTGTCCCTCCCTCCTCTCGCACAGCTGCGCCTATCTTCGTCCTTATGACGTTAGCCGTTAGCTAGCTTGTGCTACTTGCTGTTACACACGTGTATAACCACCGTGTTACAAAACATATATATATATATATATATATATAGCGTGTTGCCACATTAGGTTGGTTAGCTCACATCTCTGTTTGCCCCTTTAAAAAGTGGCAGGTACCTCTACTGGTATTATGGCTTTAGCATCAAACAATCTCCCTAGCAACAAGTGGTGAAAAAGGTGATCGACAGATCGCGAGGCCACTCGCAGGACTCAAGCGGGGTGACGACACATGACTCCAGAAAGGCACGACCAATAGAAATGGCGAGTGGGCGGGGCTTAACTAAAAGCTGTGTTACAATTGGAGCTCAGAGCCAACACGGTGATTAGCCTTGTAAGCTAGTTTATCTAGCTAGCTACCTTAAGCATTCAACTACTTTTAAAAGTAACTTATGTATTATACAAAGACATGCTCCTGTATCCATAAATACTACTTATTTATCTACGTGTGTGCTAACGTTATCTCACGCCATGAATCACTGCAATCCATGTATCTCCTAACGCATTATTACAGTAGTTAATTGATTTAATACTCACGCATGTGTCTTCATTCATGCCCAAAAGAAGAAGATTCACTACCACCTAAGAACAGCAATCAAGTCCTGTTTCATTAAAAGCTCCACAGTGCTGCCCGATGTAGCGTCTCTCCAGCCTTTCCTCATTGAATTGGCCCACCATGACTTGCAAAATGGCTAGCTGGCCCTGGCTAACCTAGCATCTAGCACCGCTTGACACCAAAACACGCTTTCACACAGCGCATGCGCAGAACATTCTAGTAGCAAGCTTTCATCACCCTGAAAAATCCCCCGCTGATAATATTACACATTTATACCAATGTAATCACATCAAAAATATATATTTAGTGGCAAAAAACAACTTCTACTTTTATATTCAAAATACATTTTACAATTTTACAAATGTTTTATGATTCGGTTATAGCAGTTGTGGAAGTATTCAGATACTACAGTGTAGTAATACTCTGTTACAAGTAAAAGTACTGCATTCTAAATCTTACTTCAGTAAAAAAACTAAAGTATGATTATCAAAATATACTAAAAGTACCAAAAGTACTCATGCAGAATGGCCTATTTCAAAATATATATCATATTAGATTCTAATTATTTATGAATAAATGTGTTCATCACGTTAATAAAGCACCTGGTAAATACGGAGCTAATTATAATTATTTATATATTGTAGAATAGCTTAACCTTTAGTGCTATATCACAATTTTGTTGTATTCTTGTTGTATCAATCTGTTAAAAGAACATTTCTCCTTAAAATGTAACATAGAACTATAAAGTAGAATAAAATGGAAATACAAGTACCTCAAACATGTCCTCAAGTTTGAGTATATGTACTTAGTTACCAACCACCACTGTCCAATATATTACAACTTTAAAAGATACATATGTGGCAAAATAACAGCTTCTTCAATATTATTTTATTCCAAACACATTCAGAGAAATACTTTATACCATTTTACAAATGTTTTATGATACTAATCTATAGAAAACTGGATACTTTAAAACCAATCATGCAAGTTAGAAGCCAGACATTTTATTTTAAACTGTGTGAAGTTATTGCCACTCTACTAGTTTTACTTGGTCAATTTTAGTAGTGCACATTTTCTAAATCTTTTAAGAAATGTGTGCATATGGTTCACCTAGCTCTGAATTTAAGCAGGATAAGTATCCCTTATATGCACACTCTTTATTTGTATGTGTTGATATTTTATTACTTACTTTAGTTAATATACAGGTACTTTATTTTATTAATATTTCATATTCCAATCAGGTAAAAAAGAAGTTGATATTAAATTAAATAAAAAGATCAATGCAGTAAAAATAAGTTTAACCAAGCATCCAGTGGATACATTCATAAAAACAAAATATAAATAGAATTTATATAATTTTTTACAAGCATATGCACATATTTCTTGTTTTTCACCGAATGTTAATCCAGAAAACGTAAAGAACACACAAGACTTCAACATAAATACCACTTTTATTGTGACGTCTGTGATTTGTCACTATATATTAACCCCCATCAGGTTGACGGGCCTTTTGTGGTATCGCTTTGAAATGTCCGCTTCAATCTGCAAAAACAAACAATCACAATTATTGGCAATAATATATATATATATATATATATATAATGATCTTATGTTTACTGTGAGAAAGTAAAACACAGGAGCTGGAGGACTGCCTACCCTGTGAACATAAATAAACTGAACTGGTGAACCAATACCATTTTCTGGAGTTCCCGGGTGCATCCTGCCAGCAGGTCGACACGAGGCTCCAGTCTGGACTGCTCCTCCAGGGCTTCCTGTCTCTTCTCGACCATCGTGGCACCTTTCAGCACCAGAATGTCTGCCTGCTTCAGCTTCTGCCTCAGCACCTCTGACACGCGCTCAACATACCTACACGAAACATTTCACACGTAAATACAATGAGAGAATGCAGATTTACGCCGACTGAAAGAGACGATACGAGGGCGAGGCGTGGCAGCGTACCGCGGCGAGGCCTGGATCATGAACAGGTGCTGCATCCGGAGGGAGGTGAGGCGACCCAGGAGGTCCAGCACCTCTGACAGCATCTCCCGGATATGTTGTCGGGATTGGCTTTGGATGATGGAGGGGGCCATCTGGAACTGGCTCATGGCCACCACGTCTCCCTCCTCTCCCATCTCAGTCACGCGCTGCGTTAAGAATGTTTCCAGCTGAACAAACACATGAAACCAGCGTCACATGTTAGGTGTAAATCTGACTGATGATCTGCTCCAAATACTATCCAAAAATAGTACAATTTAGTCTACTTTTGTGTGGAAACCTACACGATGTTCTCTGCAAGTTTAAACAAATGCTGTGACTGTTTTCAACTCCTATTTGTGATAAACACACACTTGTTGTTTGCAGAAAGTGGTTTTGAATTTGCACATGTAAACATCATGTTTAGTTTTTACATCATGCTGTATTGAAGAAGACTTGAAACTAGCGATTGAGACCATAAACTCATGTTTACTGAGGTAATAAATCAAGAGAGAAGTAGAGTCATTTTCTCATAGACTTCTATACAACCGGAGGAGTCGCCCCCTGGTGGACACTAGAGAGAATGCAGCTTTAACACATGAAGCTTTGGATTCATTTTGCAGAACTGGAAGTTGCCGCCATTTGAGTGTAGTGGAAACAAGTCGTTAAAACAATGCTGACATATCACTGAAAAGAGTTGATGCAGTGAACTTGTTTGCATGTAGTTGCTTATTTACACATCCAGAGACACATTATCATTCATTTGGAGTCATATTTTTGGCTACCTGATGAATGTCAGCTCATTATTCGCTCCTTTTTGTTCTGTTTTGTCAACTCCTGAGGGATGTATCCGTCTCTTTAGCAGCTAAATGCTCCACTATGTTCACCAGCTAGTCTAACCTATCAGCAGGTATCACACAGTGGCTTTTAAAAGCTTGTTTTAGGACTATGATCACAATTCAGATGACTCGAGTGGATGCACGGTCTCTCAAGTGGTGATTTGACACTAGATGACTGTAGCGGTTTACCTCCGTTAGCTCATCGATGAACTGGCTGCGTGACTGAGAGTTCTCCAGGACAGATAAAGCATCCTCCCCTCTTGCCACACCCTCAGGACCTGCAAGGAGACACGCGTGTCTTTAGCAAACAGAAATGTCAACAGAGCTTGTGATAAGTTGTGCAAAAAAAAAGAAAAAAAAAAAAGAACAAAGTAGTTACAGTCTGTGCCCGCATCCACGATTTCAATTTCTATGGGAGCTGCTTCACTGTCCCCCCAGTCAATCCCAGCAGCACCAGTGTCCTGTTGAGGGAGGCAGACAGGAAGTAGTATATCAGAGCAGAAGTTCCAAAACCTTTTCTCTTCATCAACACCACTCGTCATGATCCGAGCCGGACCCAGTAAGCCTCAGTGCTTGGACGCCCGCTCTAAAAGGTGATCCACTCAAGTATTAATACATTCTTTCTGTAGATATCGTCCTTAATTCATCTGAATATCTACATATTAGAAAGTGAACTAATATAAGGTGTACATAAAATCTAAATGCAGATGTGTTCTTGTGTCTCACCTCAGAGCTCGGCTCCAGACTGATGCCCCAGTCTATTCCATCCTCAACTGTGATGGCAGAATTAACACCCTGAGTGTCCGCAGTGTTGCCAAAGTTGCCCCAGTCGATCTAAAGCAGCGTTAAAAAGAGAATACCGGAACATTAAAGTCAGTGGTGGATTGAAACATGAGTGTATTTATTTGACCTCTTCTGGTATTTGTTATTATCTCACAGCAGCACAGAGCTGCTGCATGGGAGGAAGTTTGATTTGCAACTGTGATAATGTATTTTAAAAAATAACAAAACAAGATGGATTTAAGAAGAATTTATCAAATAAGAAAAAAGAAAAAGTGATTTCTATTATATGACCCTGATGAATACTTTGTATATAGAGACAGTAAAACCAACCGAATCCTCTGTGAGTGCATCAGGAGGTGCTTCCTCCACAACTGGCCTCTCGATGACCGCGGGGACGTTCCCCGTTCTCCACTCGTAAAACGTTGTGTTTCCTCTCTTCTGGGCGAACGTCAGCATGGGCAGGACTGGTTCAGACCTACAGATACCCACATGTGACAAAGAGTCAACGTGCTGTTAGGGATGTGTACGTTTATTACAACAAAGATTATTTTTTACATAACATAGAGGACTGTGTTTTTGATGATGCGCTCACCAATCACATACGAAGTTTGTGAAAGCAGTATAAAGTTTTATTTGCTCCGCTAACTTTGCCGCATCTTTCCCGACTTCCCCGAGAACCGCTGGCAAGTCTTTGACCAGAGCCTGAAGCTCACGAGCCACATTTTCTCCCTGTCAGAGCGGGAAAACAAGAAAACATCAAGCAACAGCGTGAAGAATGTCGACGTAGAGAGCAGCTAGTCTGTGTGTTTTAATAACCTTGTTTATTTACCGTGATGCCGTACTGTTTGCAGGCAGCATAGTAGCG